CGGCAGCTCGGTGCCTCCGGAGGGCCCGCCGCCAGCCCGAAGCCCAGAGGCTGTGGCAGAGCACGGCGGGCGCTCACGGTCAGGAGCTGTTGCTCGGCGTGTCGCCGCGGCGGCCCCGGAGGCGCGCTGTGCCCTGTTTACGGCAGCGGGTCGCTCCGCTCCGCGAGGCGGGAGGCTCGGGACGTCGATGCTTGGGTGCTGAGACGTGGATAGCGTGTCGCGCCGAAGCGTCGGCGGAGCGATACGCTAGACAACAGCTGATGCCCGTAAGCCCCCGCCTTCGGAGCCCTCGGGGCGCTTCGGGATCGATCCCGCTCGGGAGCGTCATTCGGAATGGTGGGGTCTCGGGAGCCCCAGGGGTGACTTCTCACGACATTGTGTTTTTTCACGACGTCGGATCTCGGGGTGGGGCAGCTACCTTGGCTGTCCGACGGTGGATCCGAATCGCACAGATCGATCAAATTGCCTGCATGATCAAGCCGATCGAATCGAAGCCCAACCGAGAATGAGGGGAGTCGACCTGCGGCATGCACAGTGGATCATTATATTCGATGCCACGCGCAGCTGCCAGCTCGAATGAGGAGGAACGATGAAGAGGAAACTGTGAAGGAGGGCTTATTGCAACATCGTTGATACGTCTTGGGCTTGCAGTTGTCCTCCTCCTCCCGCCTCCTCCTTCTCCTCCTCCTCCTCTTCTACAAGTTCTCTTCGCGCGCAACCACCCGCCTGGCAGGGAGGGCACTGGCCAGCAGCGGGTACAGAGCTGCAAACACGTGTTGAATAAGAGAGGCCCCCCTGGGCGGAGGAGGCGGCAGGGGGGCGGTGGCAGACGACGGCGGTGATGACAACGACGACGACCATCTTGCGAGCATGTGATCGAACAGGCTGAGCTGACTTCATCTGTTCCCCCCTCACCCTTGCACCCACCCGTCAAGTCCATAAACAAACCCCCTCTTTGGGAGATTGTTTTCACACCAGCGCCTGAAAGAACAACTCAACTGTGCACTCTATTTGCGCACCGCGCCGCAACCGCCGTCAGGCGAGCTACCGCGCCGACGGGCAACTCACGAACTTGAGCAAATTGCGGGGGGTATCAAGCGAGAGCGCCGTCCCTGAATTTGGTGGGGCGTCTCAAAGTAGACGGTGAAGAAGTATATCGAGCGGGAACCGTTGTCGCCGTAGCTGGGTTTTCACCAACTTGGATGATTTGGGAGGATGCCTCGAGCGAGACGGCCACTTCTGAGTGCGATAATACATACGGCCGGTGCACATGCGAGTCGATTAAGAGGACGTCTGCAACGGAAGCCGTTGTCGTCACATTCGGCCCTCAGCAACTTGAACGAGTTGCAACCCAGTCTGATGCATTTCGCTGGAGCATCGCTACTGGGTATGGGGACCTCTCTGGCCAGGGCCTCTCGGAGTAAATCGTGAGGACGTATCGAGCGTGAGCCGTTGTCGTCGTAGTTGGGCATCCACCAACTTGCCTGATGTGACAGGAAGTCCAGGGCGAGGGTGCCATTACTGAGTTTGGGGGCCTCTCTGGGCGGGGCGTCTCGGAGTAATCTGTAAGGACGTATCGACCAGGAGCCGATGTCGTCGTAGCTGGGCCTCCACCGACCCGACTGATCTGCGAAGATGTCTCGAACGAAACCGCCCGTCCTGAGTTCGGAGGCCTGGCCAAGGCATCCTATCGTCGTAGATGGACCTTTAGCAATTTGAGTGAAACGCGGGCAAGTCCCGAATGGGAGCGCCGTTCCTCCATTGGGGTGCCTTTCTGGCCAGGGCGTGTTGAGGCAAATTGCGAACAGGTATCAGGCGGGAGCCGTTGTCGTCGTTGCCAGGCCTTCAACAGCCCACGGTTGAACCCAAACCCGCGCTCGAGCGGGAGCGTCGTCTGCAGGAAAACGGTGAGCCCGCATCGAGGCGAGACCGCCCAGAACAGATTTCCAAAGATCAGCAATACGATCTCGGACTGAGCATTCGACGACGGCGGCGACGCAGACCGTCAGGCAAAGTTGGTACGACCTGCCTGGGCCAGAAGCGCGACTGAATCAACGCAGGCCCGGGGTCTGACTCTTCAGAAATCGCACGGGCGCGAGCGCGCCCAGCGCGCCCAGGCACCGCCCGGAGCTCCCACGGGCGAGCTGGGGGAGGAGCCGCCCGAGGAAAGCTCTGGCATGAGCCGCCCGGGGAACGTTCCATAAGGAACGACAGAGTCCAGTCGGGGCGTTGACCTGAGGAACCCTAAATAAAGAACGAGGCCCCTCTTCCATAAGTTAAACTTCGATTTCCTATCGAAAACATAAGGGAAACCTGAGGCAAGCTGTGAAACACTTAATGAACGCGGGGCCCCTCCCCAACGAAAACGGTTCCTTCTTCAGGGCCCCGACTGTAAAGCTCGTGTTTTTTTTGCTCGGTGGTGCAAAGACGGGACAGAGAGGTTAACAACATGTCCCCCTCCTGGGGCCGGTGGTATGCGGCGGGGACAGAGAACTGAACGACTGAGTAAGGTTCGTGAAGTAGCCTTCCCCCCCTTGTCGCGCCAGCCCCGTGCCCCTGCGTAAATCGTCCTCGGGGTCCTTCGCTGCCCTGCAAACTCAAACTAGAAAAAGGCAGCGTGGTCCGACAGCATCCGTGCCACACACGCTGTTCCCCCACCGCTCCGAGCCGTCCCAAACCCGTTCGTTGACTTCGCACAGCATCCGTCCAACAGGCCTCGGATCCGCACAGGATCCGTAGCGGGTCCGCACACGGATCCGACGCCCGAGGCGAGGCTGACACTCCCGAACAGGGACCCTCGTCAACGTCTGCGGGGGCCCCTGCTGCCGTTTTCGGGTGCCCGACGCTGCGCCCATCGCCCGCGACCGGCCGCCAAACCTCCTCTCCCCGGGCTGGCTGGGCCGACGGCCCTGGGCCTGGCTGGACCGACAGTCTGCCACCGCCGTGCCACTTGAGGCTTCGGGCCGACCTCTCGCATCGCACCAGCTTGCCTGGCAATGGCTTGAGCCAAAATGGCTTTCAGCCACATGAGGAGGAGGAGGAGGAGGAGGAGGAGGAGGAGGAGGAGGAGGAGGAGGAGGAGGAGGAGGAGGGGGAGGAGGAGGAGGAGGAGCGGGAGGAGAGGAGGAGCGGGAGGAGGAGGAGGAGGAGGAGGAGGCACAGCGTACGAAGTCTGTCTGACAACTTTAGAATCCGCACCTCGCCGAGACGAGGGGTGGGAGTGGGCGGCAGCCCCTTACATAATAACCTCGCAAGCGAAGAAACAGACGATGGAGAAGAAGAGCAGGGGCGAGTAGCTGATGAAAGAGCCGGCTCGGCGAAGTCGTCGCGATAAACTCGACGTGGAAATGGTATCAGTCGATGTCAGGTTCAGGCGGGCGCCAGTGAGCCGCACCCTGGCCGACCAACAACTCACCACCATGCTCATCATTGTCGCCATCCTCTGGTTCAGGCGGAAGCCGCAATGCCCCCGACAGATGGCCGAAGAGCTCCTCAGCATCAAAGGCATCGTTGATCGCATCGAATCTAGCATAATCAATAGGTTTGGCAGCTGGCTCTATGCGCTGCGGCTCCTTGCCGTCGATCTTCCGCCCCCTAGGATGGGAGAAGGTACAGTTGGGGCGATTGCATTCATATCCAAACTTGCATAAGATGTTCGCTGACGACGCCTTGGACACATTGCTGCGGACAGGAGAGCAAGAGCCCCGCCGAGCAGGGTCAAGCAAGCTGGCAATAGAAACTTCGACCTCTTGCAGCCGTGAGCCGAGAACCGAAACCTCCTCCGCCAAACTCCCCAGGTCGTCCGAATACCCCTCAGCTTGAGGAGAGCGCTTCTCCAGCACCTGCAGCCTTGCTTGTAAAATGCCAACGAAGTCCATCACCTTCAGAAGACGACCCTCCAAAATAGGCATCAGAAGCTCCAGCAACTTTGGCGCCGCCGTCTCCAGGATCTTCGGCCCAAGATCCTGGGTCAACTCCCGCAGCGAGGCGGAAATCCCGCGCGCGACCTCGGACATCGCAGAAGAAACAGAAGAAGAAACCTTTGCATCCATGCTGGTCGCCATGCCGTCTATCTGCCGCTGGATGGACTCCAGGCGCAGGTGCTGGGGTCCCGCGCCGTCATCAGAGGGCCTCGTGCTGGGCGACTCGGAAGACGAATCCGCATGGAAGGAATCAGACTCCGAGGACTCCTGGGAACGAGGAGGATCGCCAAGCTTGTCCAAAATACCCTGAAGCTTCGCAATAGTTTGATTCTGAGACTCCACTAACCCAGAAAAGGCAGAAAGTTGTGAATCATACAAGCACTGTGCAGACGCCAGAACCTCCGGCACGGACCAAAGGGCCTGATACGAGGCCGGTTGTGCTGGAGCGCGGGCGCCCTCACTTCGAACAGAATGGTGTGGGACAAAGTCGGCAGCTAACGGGTCTAACGCGCGACCCTGCGGGCGAGAGCGAAAGCGAGGGACCACCACCTCAGGGGACGTAAGTAGATAAGGGTCAGCTGGATACTCCGCGCCAAAAACTTCAGATATAAAATCAAAAACACTATGCTGCGTTATGTGCTCGCAAAGATGGTACGCAAAGTCAATATTGATAATCTTGTTACGCTGCTTGGGCGCCAGATTCTTCGCAGAACGTGCCGCCGCGGACAGACCTTGGAAATGCATGCCCTGGCTATGCGCCAGCCCCCGCAACAGCTGAGCACGCAGTGACGAGACCAACTCGCGAACATCCATCTTGGACGACATGCCAACCTGATTAGAACTCAAAAAGAAACCAAACACAGGGCTATACAGCAAACTCCGCTTGCGCCACAATGGCTACGGAGGAGGAGGAGGAGGAGGAGGAGGAGGGGGAGGAGGAGGAGGAGAAGGAGGGAGGAGGAGGAGGAGGAGGGAGGAGGAGGAGGAGTAGGAGGAGGAGGAGGAGGAGCAGCAGGAGGAGGAGGACCAATGCAAACCAATGCCACAGACTGGCTGTCCTGGGGGTGCCGGCGGCGCCTCAGCGCGCGGGCCCAGCACAGCCGCGCCGGCGCGGCGCCCGGGGGCCGCGGCGGAGGTCCGGGCCTGGCCCGAGGGAGCGGAGCAGGGAGGGAGGGAGGGAGGGAGGTGGGGCGTCGGCAGCAGGAACGGGGGGAGGGAGTGGAGGAGGGAGGGGGGAGGGAGCGGAGGGGCTCGGAGGAGGGAGGGAGGGAGGGAGGGAGGGGAGGGGAGCAGGGAATGGAGGGAGCGAGGGAGGAGAGGAGGTATCGAGGGAGAGAAGGACTGTTTGGGACTGTTTCGTGTAGACCGAAGCCCGTTCGGGAAGCACACCTCGAGAGAAGCGCAAGTGCCCCACATACGACACCGAAACCACGTAAATAACACCAACCCGCAACACCCTGTGGTGCGCAACCCTCCTCCTCCTCCTCCTCCTCCTCCTCCTCCTCCTCCTCCTCTTGCTCCTCCTCCTCTTCTTCCTCCCATCCTTCCATCCTCCTTCGCATCTTTCTTCTACTCGCTTTTGACGTTGGGCACACTTCGATTGCGATCGTAGCGTTCGTCCTGTTCCTTGTCCTTCCTCCTCGTCCTCCAGCCAAGCCAGCCATCTCTGCGCCCGCCTGCCCGCCTTCGCCAGGGCTGGGCCGCGGCTCTTCCAGCGCCTCCCGGGGCCGCCCCCCCCCCGTGGCCGGCAGCCAGCGGCGCTGCTCCGGGGCTCGGCGGGCGCCTGGGGCTCGGCGTGCGCTGGGCGGTGGGCCGCCACAGGTGCGGCGGCCAGGCCCGTCGGTGTCGCCTGGCCTCCGCCGCCGCCTCCGCCTGCAGGCAGGCGGCCGCCGACGGCGCCGGGCGGCCCCGAGCGCTGCCTGCCGCGCGGCGGAGCCTGCGGGTGCCGCGCGCAAGCGGGGGGCGGCGTCACCGCGCGCGGCCTCGGCCAGGTTCTGGGCCTCCGGCTGGGCCGCAGCCTCAGCGGCCAGGCTCTGGCGCCCTGGCTGCCTGCTGTCGGCGCGCTCCTCCGGCCGCTGGCGGAGGCGCGTTCCTCGCCTGCGGCGGTGCTGTCGGTCGCAGCAGGCTGCAGCGCGGCGCGCAGCGGCTCAGCTTGACGGACGGCCTCGTAGCTGAGCTTTGCCATCTGGCCCCATGGGTCTGGCAGGTCTCAGGGTGTGAAGTCATGTGTAGGCCAGGTGCGAACTGCCCCGCGATGGGCTAGAAAATCACATCTTCGTCCAACGTGCCGGCCATGCTGCCGACCGTGCGGATCAAGAAACCCTTGATGTCATAAGTGGCCGACGAACGGAGGATCGCTGTGCGTCTGAGCCTTACTCGGCGCCAGGCCGAGCGTGAGGGGGGGAGCGCCGCGCCTGGACAACGCCGCGAGCGGGCGCAAGCGCCGCAATCTCTAGGGCAGGCGGCTCCTTGAGCCAACATGGTTTGAGCCAAATAGCTACGGACTCAAATTCCTCAGGATGTGGGAGTAACGCTACCTCAGCCTCGTCTGTGCCTCCAGCGGGGGCGCCCGCGATGCCACGCCGGATTCGCCTCGAGGTCATGGTCGGAGCGCGCTCCTGAGACAGGTCTTGTGGCCAGCTCTGCGGAGGGAGTTTGGGATGCAGCTTCTGGGAAGTACTCCCACGAAGGACTAAAGGCAATGAAGCCCGATCAAAGGGCCGCTCAGCCGGATGAGCCCGACGATGCGCTGGATTGAGTCGGATAGGGCGGGATTAATCCGGATTCAACGAGATCATACTGGATGAGGGTGGTCTTCGACCATGGGTGCAAGGGAGGTGTTGGAACAAAAGTCACTGCAGGGCGTCCTCGCTCCCTCGGGCCCCAGTGGGCCCTCACCGATATCGGCCCCGCTCGAGGAGAGCGGGGCGGACAGGCGGGGTCGGGAGAGCTCTGGCCGGAACCCGACCGCGACGATGCGACATCTCCTCGCCGTGACCTTCTCGCGGCGAGCGGTATGTTCGCGGCGACGTGCCTGGACCTCCCTCCCTCTGACCTCCGCCTGCTCCTGCTCCTCCTGTGAGCTGTGAGCTGATGGCGTGAAGGTCGGTACCGATGTCGCCCTTGCCTCCCCCCCAGGGCTGATCGGCCCTGGGGGGGGGGGCTGGTGATCAATCTGGTGCCAGGCGACCCCTGGAGCAACGCTCCAAGGGTCGCCGACAGGTAGTTATGTGTAAAGGGGTAACAGGAGCAACCGAAAACAGACAAGAGGAGGAGGGGAGAAGCGGAGGAGCCCTCGTAATAACGAAGAGGAGGGGAGACGAGGTGGGGCTAGCACCGTGTGTGGCTATAGCGGTGTGGCGCATGTAGTGCCCCATCCATCCCAATGAACTCCCCCCCTCAATGCTGTTCCTCCTCCTCCTCTTCCTCCTCTTCCTCCTCATCCTCCTCCTGCTGCCCGGGGAAGTGGTCTGGACCTCTGGGGCCCAAGCATCGAACGAAAATGGAGCAGCTGGATGTCTGGGCACGGGCTCTGCGGGATCGGGCGGGCGGGGGGAGGGGGAGCAGGAGAAAGGGGACGAGAAGCATGGCAAGCTCTGGCGGGTCCAACCAAGAGCCCATCCGGTGGGGTGGCGGTTGGGGTTCTAGGCGGGGAGGGCTCGATGAGGAAGGTACAGTAGCGGCATGAAGAAAATGAGCTGAGGAATGGTCGAAGCCGTTCGCGGTCCAGGCATGAAAGGTCTTTACGTATTCGGATGACCATTGAACATTCTCTGGCCATGGGGGGCGATCCATCGAGAGCATTCCTGGGGCGACCGAACAGCCCTGAACGGAGGTCCCTGGCCCGATTTGCAGACACGGAACCCAAGCCTCCAGTCGCCAACCATGCATCTGCGCCGACGCTTCCGGCCCCCGAGGAAGCTAATGTTTAGGCCCAGGGCTCGAAAGACATGGTCCGTGGCGAGGTCCCAGTCCAGGGGATGGGGTCGAGGGTTCCAGGACCCACGTCGAGAAACAGCAGGACGTCGGCTGCAAGTGTTGGCCTCGGGATAGAAGGACAAGTTACACCCGACTATGGATGGGGCCCCGGCCACCCTTCGCATATGTTCAGCTTCCCAGGTTGAGAGAAAAGCCCCAGGGCTCGAGCTGAACAGTATTTGCCGTTTTCTTGTTGGTTACCTTGACCTTCGTCCTGTCTTCGCTCTGTCTTGGCTGCGAAACGAAATCAAAACGAAAACAGCCCATCGCCAACACACACTTCAGCACAAGCCCTGGTGCATGCTTAGGCTCCCAGGTTAAGAAAAACGCCGTCCGAGCAGACCGACCCAGCGGACACAAGGTTAAGAGCACCACGCTTTACCGACTGAGCTAGGCGAGCTGGCATTCCGGATAAGCGACCACGTCGGACAAGAATCTGCGAAACACGAAGTGGCAACGACTTCCTTGCAAAAACACGTTGCGCATCAACCTATTCGCAACATCTTCGAAGACGCACAACGGTCGATTGTTCCGGAGACTGGGCCAATTCAAACTATCTGGGACAGAGCAGCTGGGCGATGCTCCTTTTCCCGAGCTCACCACTGCCAAAATGCCATGCACTTTTACAGCAACGGCTCTCTGGCCGCATCGTTCACCAGATTCGCTGCTTGCAAGGAAGGGGGACAGGAGTACCATTGCTGATTAGTCATCCTTGATACAGCCGCACATGCAGATGCAGCCGATTGATTCGCTGATTCCCTGTGGAGCACAGCGTCTTGCCAAGACAACTAATAATCCACTGCACTTTGGCCTTGATACTGCCCTACCAAGCGCCAGTGGAAATGCGTTACCAGCGTTCGTATGGCGACGGTTTTTTTGTCCAGTTTCGCCTTCGCTCCTACCAGCAATACATGCCCATCCCCGCGGAAGACGACCTTGACTTTTTCCTCTTGCTCGTGCTTCTGCAATTTCTCCATACCTTCTTCCGTAAATGCTGTGTTCAACAACACTCCGCCATCGCCGCTCTTCTTCCCGAGATCCTCCACAACAAGCTTTTTCAACTCCTTGTCAACAGCCTTGCTCCACGCATCCTCTGCGATTGCCAGCGCCTCAGGGCCATTGTCTTCTAGCGCAGTGGCCTCGCCCTCTCCTCGGAAATGAGAAGAGCCATCCATCTCTACAACGAGCAGGGAATGTTCCAAGTCAGCGGTAACATCCAAACACGGGTGCGGCGGCCGCTTCCGCCACGAGGGGAAGCAGAAAGCGCGGAGATGCTCGAGCTTCTCCACTGGTGAAACACTGATCCGGAGCTCTACGGCGGCGGCATTTCGAACCTCGAGGTCGTCAGCGCACTCCGCGGCGGCTCCTGAATTTGTGTCATTTTCTATCCCACCAGACGGCGCCGCCATCTGAACGATCTGCGAAAAGTGAGTATGCGTTCGAGCTGTGTCACGCTGCCGTCACCTGAGCTGCTACCCAACACTGCCTCCAGCCTGGATGCCCCACGCTGCGTACTCCTGGCGGCAACAGCAGGCAGCCTATACGACCGCAGGCAGCCCGAGCAAAACACAAACAGGACTGCGATCAACAAGCCACCATGTGGCACTTTTGAGCCGAAATGGCTATCGATCTCACTGCTCATCACACTTGAATGCCAACAACGCCGTCTCCGACCAAACAAGAAAAACGTGCCCACCCCATGGGACAACCGTGGCCGCCAGAGCTCATTCAAGCCCAGATTGCGACTCATTCTGACGTACGCAAGGAGCAACACCAGAGATGAAGTTACGGTCGCGCCCTCACAGCTTCTGTTGCACGACATGTCGCTCGCGGACCCGGGGCAGTGTTCTGAAAGCGTGGGGCTAGCAATAGCAAGCAGAAGCGGCCCGCAATGGGCGCGGGCACCCATGCGGACACTGCCAAAAGGCCCTCGGTCGAGCTCCCTGTAGGCCACGAAGCGTGCGAGGGGGTGTACCGAAAAGGGCGGGGGCGCGCATGTGGACCCTGCCGCTGGGGCCTCTGGTGGAGCTCCCTTCGGAGCCACGATCCTCGTGAGGAGTGTGCCGAAATTGGCACGGGCACGCATGCAAGCCTTGCCATTTGGGGCCTTCGATGAAGCTCGAAGCGTGTAAGGGGTGTGCCACATAGGCGCGGACACGCATGCGAAACCTTCAACTGGGGCCTTCGATGGAGCTCCCTATGGGGCCACGAAAAGTGTGAGGGGTGTGCCGAAACAGGCGCGGGCACGTCACTGCGTTCTCCGGTGGAACTCCCTTTGGGGGCACGAAACTTTTGAGGGGCGTTCCGACATGGGCGCGGACACGCGCTCGAACCCTGCCATCGGGACCAGGAGAAAGGGGGAGGTCAGCACATGCGGAGTGCCGTGCGGAGGGCAGGGGCAGGAGGGCCAAGCGTCACACGAGGTGTGTCTGTGTCGAGGACCCTGACCCTGCATCACCGGCTCGACGAAATTTCGGGATCGGAGCCCCGGGGCGCCCAGAAAGACGCGCAGCGGAGACCAGCCAGCACGGACTTGCCGAACTGTGCTGGACCATGTCCGGTGAGTTCGCACAGAGCACGTCCCCCAAAAAGGGGTCCCACCAGAGGCCTCCCAAGAAACATAGCCATGCCAAACAGCAGCATGAGGTGAACCAGTGCCGACGTTTTTCCTAAACCCTCCCAGATTGGATTCTCGTCTTGAAAAGAGCACTGCTTGCGCGACATCCTCCCGCCTCTCCCTCCTCCTGCCTCCTCCTGCGCTGCTCCCTGGGCGGCTGCGAATTGCGCAATTGTCGCAACTTCCGTTGGCTCCTGGAGAGGTCCAGGTCGGGGGCTACGCACACACACACAGACGAGACCCCGCTGCTCCATGGGTATCAGTGCACTGCGCAACTGCTGCCACTTTCGTGGGCTCCTGAGAGGTCCAGCGGGGTCGGGGGCCACGCGCACCCAGACGAGACATCGCTGCTCCCTGGGTGGCTGCGAACTGTGCAACCGTCGCCACTTTCGTGGGCTCCTGTCCTGAGAAATCCAGCGGAGCCGGGAGCCACGCGGACATATGTGGGACCTCGCTGGCCCCCCTCGGGAGGCTGCGAAATGCGCAGTTGTCAACACTTTCGTCGGCTCCTGGAAAGTCTAGCGGGGTCGGGGGCCACGCGCACCCATTTGAGACCTCGCTGCTCCTCGGGCGGCAGCGAACGGCGCAAATGCCCGCGCGCAGCGCCCCGTGCACTGCAGGGGGGGGGCTGTTTGAGGGTGCCGGCCTGGTGGGTGTAGGGTTTTTACATCGGTTTTCATCGAGTGCGGCGGGGGTGCCGGCCTGGGTGCAGGGTTTTTCGCCGCCGAGCTGGGCCTCCAGGAGGGGGGGGGTGCACTGCCCCGCGAGCCGCCCTATTACTTAACACCCCCTCCCACACCTGGCGCACCTGGCACGCCTGGCACGCTTGGGCCTCCAGGGTATGGTGCATCTGGAACCCGTGACGTCTACTGCGTTCTTACACGATATGTTGACTCCAGGTGTTACGCATGTGTTGGGTGGGCGGGTAGGAATGAGCAAGACGGCTTGCGTGCGGGTGGGAAGCTTGACCCCTCCCCCTACCCCCTTCCCTGGACCTGGAACGGGGGGGGCCGCGAGGCGCTGGAGCGTCCAAGATGGCCCAAGACGGCTCCAACAGAGCCTCTGAGAGTCCAAGATGAGCTCCAAGCTGACCTAAGATAGCGCACGATGCCTCGCGATGGCTCCCAAGATGCTGCAATAATCCCCAATCCAAGGCGGCTCCAAGAGGCGTCCAAAACCTCCACGGAGGCCCCCAAGAAGCCAAAGTCCTTCAAAAGCCTAAGGAAATCTTTCTCGCCTTTTCGCGTCCGATGGCCATCCGAGGCCTCAAGATGGCTCCAAGACGGCCCAGGAGAGCCCCAGGAGAGGCCCAGGAGAGCCCCAAGACGGCCCACAGAGCGCCCAAGAGCGCCCCAAAAGCGCTCCCCAACGGGGGCCCAGGAGGCGATTGTCGGTGCTCCCTAGGGGGAGAGTAATTGGAGCTCTCCTTTGTTTGATCGATGTCCTCCACGATGGCCCCTAAGAGCGCCCCTGAAGCTCCCAAGAGCGCCCCAAGAGCGCCCCAAGAGGCGCCCAGACGGCCTCAAGATGGCTGCAAGAGGCTCCCAAGAGGCCCCATACGAGGCCTCAAGAGGATCCCCGAGGTACCCAACTCTCGCTCCTTCTCCGCCTTTTCCTTCTTCGCGTCCTCCTCGTCCTCGCCCTATTCCACCTCCCCCTCCTCCCACTCCTCCTCCTCCTCCTCCTCCTCCTCCTCCTCCTCCTCCTCCTCCTCCTCTCCTCCTCCTCCTCCTCCTCCTCCTCCTCCTCCTCCTCCTCCTCCTCCTCCTCCTCCTCCTCCTCCTCCTCCTCCTCCTCCTACTCTTCCTCCTCCTCCTCCTCCTCCTCCTCCTCCTCCTCCTCCTCCGACGACGACGACGACGACGACGACGACGACGACGACGACGACGACGACGGCGGTTCCTCCTCCATCCTCCCCCCCTCGGGGTATCTGACTGCTTCCCCCGCCCTTTGTTATTCTGCATGCTCCCCCACTCCCCTGCTCACCTCAACTCCCGTGGGCATCGTTTCTGGATGGGTTGGTGGGGATTTGTTGTCAGCAGCCGCGAGCGAAAGCGCACGCGGCGAGTCGAGTCAGAGCGGGCCGCGCAAAGACAAATTACCTAAAGCGGCGAGCCTCAGGCAACACCACGGCGGGCGGGGCCGGCGGGGTGGGGGTGCAGGCTGTGGCTGCCAGGGGCTGAGCCAGGGCAAGGCGCAAATTGGCCAACCAGGGTTGGGGTGGGGATGCACGAAGCGTCAACAATTCGGATTCGTCCACGTGCCACTCACAGACTCGCAGCCTCTGAATGCCTCTGCGCCCAGGTTGTCACGCCGCTGGCGCCTGGCGGGAACCAGTCTGACCCTGGCGGCAGGGCGGCCGCGTGGCAGGAGAAGGACAGATCCTCGGCGTTGCAGTCGTGCTCTCAGGCGAGGGCGAGGTGTGACAGCCCTCGGGAGGCGTCCCCCTCTCGCTGCAGCAGCTGCGGCCCCCCTGGAAGTTACATCAGTGGGCAGCCGTTAGTTGCACCCCTGGTAACCTCGGCACGCTTGCAGGTACAGCGATGCCAGTAATGCAGGCAGGCCGGCGACACCGGGGCCAGCAGGTCGACTGTTGGCAGCGCTTCCCGGGGGAAAGCTCTGCCCACACCTCGCCCTTGCTGAGTGGGCTCTCAAAGACATTTGATTTGCACTCTGAGCAACCGTTGGCTGCATCCCTGGATTATGGGCGGGCTCCCACCCTCTCCCTGTATTCAACTCTGTGCAACCGTTAGCTGCAACCCTGGAACACGGGCCCTGACTCCGGCATCCCTGGATCTAGGGCCCGGGCTTCGGCCCTCCCCCTGTCCCTCTCCCGGCGCCGCGTGAATGGCTGGTGATGTTCTGTCCCCACCGCCCCCCCCCGCACGGAGGTCCCACTCGGGCTGGGCGGCCTGTCGGGATGTCGTGTCCCCGCATCACAACGGTGGAGATCGTCCCCTGGCGCGGCTGCCCCCTGGTGCCCTCTTCAGCCACGCTGGCGATGCTCATCCCCGCCAGTCTGGCTTCCTGCCACGCTCAGCGCGGCGCTCTACGACGCCATGACATGCGTGTGGCATGGGCCGGGCCCACAGAGCTCTCCCCAGGGCCGGCTCGTTGTCCGTGCTCGGGACTGGTGGGCCTTGGGAGTCTCGCGGTCGCCTCGGAGTGGTTCAGCCTTCCGTCTCACGCAGAGTTCCATCCTGGCTCCGTCCCAACCGATCAGGCAGGTCTACGCCGTCGTCACGGTTCTTGCTCAGCTCACCTGGCTGGTATACGCCGTTGGCACGGTCTTGGCCCGTGGCGCCCCGCTGGCGACTCGACCATCGTTTACCTCGCCTTCGCGACCACCAGGCGTGAGGGGGGGGGGGGGCTGGGAGCTCACCTACGTTCTCGCCTTCACCGAGTGGTCCACGCCGCAGGGCGTACACCGAATGCCCTGGCATTTTGCTCTGGGCTGCACGATGCTCGAGCTCCCCTGGGTGCCCGCCAGCCAGTCAGCCCTCACCTTGCTGCCCCAACGGCCGCCTTGTGAGCTGGCCCGGCCGGCCTGTTCTGCGCCCTGCAGCTAATTCGGTCTGTTTCCGTGCCCCGGACAGCTTCTGTTGCCGCCTGCGCTTTTCGCTCGCGGCCGCGACCGAAAAAAGAGTGCCTCTGCGAGCGGCGCCACGGCCGAGGCGCAGGTGGTGGCGGCCCGAGCCGCGGATCCAAACACTGTCAGCCCACGCCCTCGGGGAACGCCGCTCGCCCCAAAGGCCCGCCGAGCCGACATATACGCCTGTGAGGCTGCGACCGCGCACTCGGGAGCGTCCAAGAGGGGAGCGTCCAAGAGGGGGGCTCGCAAGTCATAGCCCGAGGCATGTCCCGCGGCCCAGGGGGGGAGGGCCGAGGGACGCATTGAGAAAAGAGGAGGGGCCATAATTTCTGGGAGGCATGACGGCCCCGCCCATGATGTCCAGCGCCCCTCATCATCACCCCCGTCTTGGCCGCCCCTGACGCACTTGAAGCCG